ACTGGCCGAGACCGATGATCTGTCACTACTGGCCGAGACCGATGATCTGTCACTACTGGCCGAGACCGATGATCTGTCACTACTGGCCGAGACCTATGATCTGTCACTACTGGCCGAGACCGATGATCTGTCACTACTGGCCGAGTTTTTGTACTCATATGAAGCAGAATTCATACAGAACTTTCTCATAGAAAAAAAGAAGAAATCCTAGCAAAGGTTTTTAATTTGAATCTTATATATATTCGATGATGTTATTTCGCTCAATAAGCCACTCTTCAATGAGTTTTTACATCTCATATATTTCTATGAATTAGAGATTAAGGAATGCTCCTGAAAGTAAATGGTTTGCTTCATATGTTGATCTTTCTCTCGATATTGACACAAATGGACGACTTCAAACTAGATTCTATGACAACAGTGATGTTTCAATTTTCAAATTGTCAACTCAGAATTAACCTACCCCCTGCTCCATCGTATAGCATTTATATCTCAGTTAATACGTTTAGCTCGTGCATGTTCATACTATACGGACTTAGTAAACAGGGTTGTGCTCTACACAAAAACTGCTTGATTAAAGCTATACGGAAGAACTACATTAGTTTTACAGTCACCATCACGAATTTGATTTCTGGTACGGTGTGTCTGTGTCTCAGTTCTCGTACGATATGTTAGGACGGTATAAGGTCTCCATTCCAGCAAAGTCGACCGCAATCTGTATATTTTCCAATTTTGTCTTATACTTGATTGTGAGATTAGGACTCAGCGTGGATTCGCATGGCGGGTGATGCTTGCATAACAAAAAATGCTTACCTTTCGAAGCATCCGGTTTCGCTCATTTTGGAGTTTTTTACCTGAATTCTTTTTTATGAGAATAAGCATCAATAAACTGCAGTCGCCTTTCATTTTGTTATTTCAATATTCCTGCTGGCTTTTTTATAACACCTATGCAAGTAGTACATAATAGAAAAGAGCAAAACCGGATGATTTTGAGATCAACAGGTCAAACGTGAAGGTCACAGTTATACAAATATCTTTTAAAGTTTTGTTTCTCAATAAACGTGCCTCAAAACGTGGCTAAATTCATCCAAAACCAAGTAAGGCAAGCTTAGTGGTGTACAGTGTGTGGTATAACAATGGAAAATTGAATATTCAGTGCAAACAAAGAATTTGTGTATTTTAATCCTGCACCCAATCGCCTGTGGAACCTGCTTGACAAAACTGCCACCGGACGATTAGCAAACAACAATCAATCAATAGGATCATCGTGATATATTTCCTAGAAAAAAGTTGGATAACCTTGGGTCATTGTCTTCTATATAAGAACATACTCATGTCTTGTCGTTCGATAAAAAATCAGTATGTTCACTTCTATTTATTAAAAGATGCCTCTTCGTACATTATAAAATGTTAAATATGAATTGTTTTTCATCGTAGATTAATATCAATTCTGAATCTTTAATATCGGCAATGACGAAGTGTGCAATCCTAATGAAGCAACTTTGTCAAAACAAAAGTCAAATGAAAAAAAAAACTATTGATGAGTACTATTGCTTGGATAAATATTACAAACACCTTAAGGTTTGCGTTTTTTATATTGCAAACGTTACACTACAATTTCACACAATCTTAACAATCAACACGACGGGTGCCACACTTGGAGCAGGATCTAATTTACTCTTCCGGAACACCTGAGATCACCCCCAGGTTTTGGTGGGATTCGTGTTGCTTAGTCTTTGTTTTTCTATGTTGTGTTTTGTGCTGTTGTCAGTCTGTTTGTCTGTTTCTTTTTAACCATGGCGTTGTCAGTTTATTTTCGACTTATGAGTTTGAATGTCCCTTAGGTATCATTCGCTTCTCTTATATTATTTCAAATAAAGTAAAAATGCAATTAAAAAGGAGGAGTAGGGGAAGTTGAAATGATACTGAATGTAGTTGTTATACCAGACCTAATTAGAGTCGAGTCAATTTCATAAAATTTGTGAAAGATCATTTTTTATCCTTTTGATTCAGTTGACAGTTTTGACTTTTCAACTCTTAACTCTACACTTCCACACAATCTTATCAATCAAACGTTTTTCTAATTTATTAAATGGTCGTTTAAAAAATATGATTGCAACTTATATAAAGCCTTCTTTCTAATGAGAAAGGTAAATATGCTAGATGTACTAACCGGAAGTATGATGAGATAATTAAAGCAGTAAATGTTCTCCTTGACAACATTAATGTACGTTTCGGTGATAAAGTTTATCAACAGGTTGTAGGTATTCTTATGGGTACCATTTGCGCTCCTTTAATTGCAGACTTGTTCTTGTACTTTTCTGAATCACAGTTTATGGCCAAACTCAGTAAAGACCGGACGACGCCTAAATTCTATTTAATTGATAAATTCAACAAAACTCACCTTTATCTTGGTGATATTTTTTCGCTTAACAATTAATTTTTTTTTCTAAATATACTCTCAAAATTTACCCACAGGAATTTACTTTAAATAAATAAGATATAAACGGTTGTAACTATCTTTTCCTATATATGGATATTTCAGTTTTACACGGGAAACTCTACACAATAAATTGCGACAAAAAGTACGATTTTTCATTTCCTTTTTTGGACAGTGATCTTCTTTTGACACCATCTTACTTTGTTTATGTATGACATGCACAACTCTTTCTATATGCCCGTGTCTGTAGTGACGTTTTGGATTTCAATGAACGTAATCTATGTATTACTGGTAAATTATTGAGTGAAGGATTTTGTTACCACAAATTACTAAACATAATTATTCCATAGATACAAAAATTTGGTTTGGAAGTTTGACTGTACCACTAGAAAACTTATTTCATACGGGATAGCATATCCTAATTTTTACGGTGATGTTGTTTACCGAGCCCGTAAATTTAATTACGATCCGGGTAAACTTATCGATCCTTTGAATAAACTTATTCTTAAAGGTTATAAATTCAACACTGTAATTAGTTCTTTGAATATTGTTTTTATCCTTTTATCGGTATAAACATTTACTTAGTTAGCAATAAATTGAAACCAAACTAAAGATCATTGGTTTACTAATATGTACATTTATGCTTCTACAATATTTCGATACCTATAGTTTGGCATTGTACAAGGTCAACATGACTCTGACTGTTAATGGCGTCTTAACAGTAAATTCATTGGATCTTAGATGTGAACTGATTGACATTTTAGTCTTCGATACATGATATTAGTTGTTATTGGTTTTGTTAGCTTTCAGTAACTTCGAGTACTCTCAGATTTGTACTTTGTGTCTTTCGTGTTTTTGTAAGGGATGTTGTGTGTTTTGTATCGATCTGATGACTTAATCTTTTTTTTACAATTTACTTTAATTTATAGTGTTTTCTTATGTCGTACTGTAACACCACTGTCCCATGTTAGGGTAGGGTTTGTCGCGAGCAAACATCTGTATGTGCCTATCCCAAATCAGGAGCCGGTACTTTAGTGATTGTTGTTTGTTACTGTATATCATATTTGATTTTTGTTTATTGTTTTGAACTTAAATGAGGCCGTTGGTTTTCTCGTTTGAATTGTTTTACATTCTTTATTTCGCAGCTTTTTAAAACTTACTATGCAGTGTGGGTTTAGCTCATTGTTGAAGGCCGTACGGTAACCTATGGTTGTTAACTTCTTTATCATTGTGGCTCTGGTGGAGGGTTTTCTAATTGGCATCCAGACCACATCTTGACCTATGTTTATTAACTTCTATATCATTGTGTCTCCGGTGGAGGGTTTTCTAATTGGCAATCATACCACATGTTCTTATTTTAAATTAACTGTTTTTATATAAATCAAAGAAAATTTCAGACAAAAGTAAACATTAATAGATATAAAAGAATGCAACTCAATTTTAATATTTATTCATTAAGTATTATCATTATAAAATATATGTACAATGTTTGAAAACACTGTGGTGTTCTAAAAATGAAGGAATTTGATAAATATAAGTATTCAGTCTTAGATATAAGAAGATGTGGTAGGAGTGCCAATGAGACAACTCTCCATCCAAGTCAAAATTTATAAACGTAAACCATTATAGGTCAAAGTACGGTCTTCAACACGGAGCCTTGGCTCACACCGAACAGCAATTTTTTACCTTAGACAGACCCTAATAATAAAAAATCCATTATTAAAATGATTTCTTTTTTTTTTCTCACAAAAACAACCTCTCAATTGAATTAGTTTTCTGAATTAAATTGTTTCATATTTTTCATGTAGAGGCCTTTTATAGCCGACTATATACAGTATGGGTTTTTCTCTTTGTTAAAAGCCGTACGGTTGCCTATAATTGCTTACATCCATTTCATTTGAGCTTTGGTGGATAGTTGTCTCATTGGCAAATATACCACATCTCCTTATTTCATATCAGTAGGCTATTGTACTCAAAAATGATTCAAATTTTTCATAAACATTTTAAAGTGTACTTATTTTCAGGTTTCATTAATAACATTGGAAAGTAACCACTCATATGTGTGAACAATAACATGTTCTAAATTTTCAAGATATGTATGTGCTCTTCAGACTCAATTTTAATCGCCTCAGATGTTAAATGTTCACAAAATATTAACAAATAACGGTTAGTCCATGGAAACGCATATCCTATGACATTTAGAACGAGCGTTTTTGCCTATAATTAATATACCAACGGAGATGACATAAGTCCACTATGTTATACAAATCATAAACAAAAAGACGAATGACCTAATGATATTTTGTTAAGCTGGTCATATACATAGGTATTACTTAGGACCATGTTCTTTTACAAAGACCTTCATATGGAAATGATATCTGGTCACTGTGTTTTTCCTTTTCAATTCAACCGAATGGAAATAACTTTTAAGTAATTTGGTAATACTAGCCTAAAGTCCTGCACATGATATAGAAATGAGATGTCTCTGGTCAATGTGTAATGCATAGGTATTGAGGGGGAATACTTGGGGTTATTGTATGGGCACTTGTTCGAAAACGCAATCTAACCATGGTATTATTTATTACTTTTATACAAAGGAAACTGATCTTTGGTTTTTGAGATTTATACATGAATTATATTACGGATTTCCAATGTCTACTAATTTCAGTCTGTATATCTTCAACCTTTTTATCACCTCCCTACCTATCCCAATAAAAAAATATACAATGTAGGTCATGGGATATACACATAGGTATATCATATTTTCATAATTTCAGGATTCGGTAGTAGCAGCTTCAAATCCGCATTTTTTCAAACGGTTCGTACAATTCTATGGATGACAATCTCTTGAGCATCTAGCGGTAAAATAAAAATTATTTAGAATAGACACGCATATTTATTCTGAAGAACATATCATTTATATGACGTTGACATAGAGAATATGAAATATTGGTGTACCTTATTGTTCTCTATTCTGTAAACTCCATCTAGATCATTTAGTATAACTTAAGTATAGAATATAAAGTCTGATTTTGAAAACTATAATTAATCAATTAGAAGAAAGTGTGTAATTTTTTTAAATAAAAAAAAAATAAAATTGATTGTGTTCCTGAGTATAAAAAGTACTACTGAAAAGTGGTATGGCCAATTTCACTTAGCTTAATTTACTACCGGTATCAATATCTGTAACTTGAATCCTGTGCAGCTGGATCTGCTTACCATTCCGGAGACCTGAAATCACCCCGGTTTTTGGTGGGGTTCGTGTTGCTTAGTCTTTAGTTTTCCATGTTGTGTTTTGTATACTGTTGTTTCTGTTTTGATCATTTATTTCATTTTTTGCGATGGCATTGTCCGTTTATTGTCGACTTAGTTTGAATTTAGATAAATTTAGTTAGATTTTGTAACAATTTTCATATATTCATGCATAAAAAAAAATACAAAATTCAAAAGAAATATACATTGCTGATGTAAACAATTTTGATAACATATTAGAAATTTTGCTGTCAAACTCATTATAACTAATTTTACATATATATAAAAGACATATATATTAATTATTTTCCCCAATATTTTGAATGTGTCGATTTGTTATGAATTACACAAATAATATTTCTACATATCATTTATGATTTTGCAACTGTCGTCATTTTTACCATTTACGAAAGGATTTTCAAAATGACGAATTCAAAGTATTTTTCATCAAAATCGTCAATAAAATATGTAAAAGAAAAAAAAAAACATCGTACACTAATTTAACTGGCGACATATTTATGTCAGGTAGATGAACTTCAAGTAAATCGACGACAGGTGTGAAAAATTGTTGTTACAGATATAAAATGTAATCCAACCATTTATAAATATAATTGATTTGCCTTCATTTCGAGTTCAATAAAAAAAATAATATGATCATCATTTGCAACGTTTACCTTAGTTTCATGATAAACACGTTATTTACAGTAAAGAGGAAAATTACAATGAACTTATATGAAACATCGTTTTTTCTGAAATCCGTTATTTTAAAATCTGATGAGTTTCGTCTGTCTAGTTCAGTCTGATTAATTGACGCCATCTTGTTTTCACGTATACTGAGTACAAACCATAGGAATTAGGTTCCAAGAAAGATAACTCAAATTGTATCCTTTCCTAACATCATTCACTTAACTTTAGGACATTTAAGTCTATGTCTTGTGTGTCGTGTTGCATAGCAAAGCATGACTTGACTAGGAAGAAAAAGAGGGATTCTTCAATTTGTATTCTATTTTGTAGGCCATTTTTCTGTATTCTTAATTTATTTTACGCCAATTTTTACAATTTGATAAAAGAGCGGCTCTATTGACTTTCCGAATCTAATTTCCAATCTATTTTAGATGAAGGACGATATTTTGGCTGCTTGAGATATCACAAAGTAACTTTTTTTAATGTGATATGCATCTTTTTACAGCTTAACAGCTGATTTGTTTTAATTTTTATTTGTATATATTTATTAGTATACTTATGAAATGCTAGGGAAAAATTAAAGAACACATTAAACATGCGTTTTTCATGTATTTAAGCCCATGCAACTACTGCCTTACGGCTTAGTTCAAAAAGGTCGTTTTTATTGTATCACTCAAACGTGACTGAAGCCCTCTAAATCCTAGCTTAAACTCTTAATGTGTGTTTAGTGATTGTACTAACTGTTTGGTATATTTTATAGTTAGTACAATTTATAAAAAATAATTTCTAATCAATATTAGATTTTCCGCAAAAATCATGAAATTTATTTCTTTCAGATTCAAGTTAACATAGACACTTTACATGACACTAGACTAGAGGCGTATAATCTCACACTCGATTCATTCCATGGGAATCCATCCCGGATAGAAATGATCAGAATAGTTCGAATAAAGTTTAGAAAATGCAGATCCAGGCGTGGCAGGGTGCATGTAGTAAACTGTCTTCCCCTGAGTCATCCATCCAGCCATCCAGCCAAATGTTCCAACGGTCATTATGGTATGGCTTGTAAGCGTTAACATTGCAAGGTCTACCGGTGCGGAATTTCCTTCGACAAGGAAAATGTCACCAGTTTGTGGAATATTCTTTTTAGTCCATTTCATTTCAATTGAAAAGATGAGGAATAAACACCTTTTATACAGATTTCTGAAATAGTCCATGGCATGAATTATATATTCTTTTGGTGCATTGTTTTTACCAAATTCATCTGTATCATACCTATCGAATCTACGTATATGTACTCCTATAATTTCTATGCCTTCATATTTTTGGTATTTTGAAAGAATAGTAATAAACTTAGATTTTGCTTCATGTAGAATATTATCCTGGAATTGAAGTATCTGTCTTAATTCATTCTCATATTTTTTCCAATATCTCCAGGACTGGAAAAATCCTAAAAATGATAAATTCTGATCACTTGGTAAATGTTCTAATTTCTTGTCATATCCACAATCATATCCCTTATCGGTTATTAATGGTAAACCATCACAAATATCTGCATTTAAATCATAATGCTTCCAATAAATTGGCACCAATTTGAAATACTGTGTTAAAATATTTTTTCTTGTTATTATTAACTGCATGTTTTTCTTTCGAGCTACGGTATATCCAAAACAAAAATGGAAAAGTTGATTTCCTAATCCTCCTCCGAATTTAACACACACAGATTTGTTTCTTTTGATTCCTATCTTATCCTGATAAGCAATCGAACTACAGTTATATTTGTGTGAAGGATTTCGGTTTAGTGAATCAAGCAGAGACTGTCGGTAAAAAAACGTATAGTGAATTCCTGCCAGAAGTAAGAAAATTACTGCAATTTTTCTCGCTGTTCCTATTAAAAAAATAATATGAGTCCTTAATACTATAGAAGCAGTAGGCATCCAACACTCTTTCAAATCCGCATTTTTAAGTGTTTTTTTTTCAAATAATATATAAATAATTAGTTTAAGGAATTTTTATCATATCCCATATATAAAACTGTCAGAGAATAACCAATGTATCCCGCTGAAATACAGAAATATTTATAATTACATAAAAAAAAAAATATTTCCTAGGGACGTTAGTCAACGAAACAAAAACGCAGACAGTCTAAAACCCCGCCCATTTTTTGGACCTATTTGCATAAGCTTACAATTCTACATGTGTAAGAATGTGCTTGCCATTATGAGTCTGACTCTGTACTTGATTATAATTGACTCGAGTACATCCTGATACATCCTGGCACCTGCCTACGGAGCTAGGCTTTTTAAAAAAAAAGTTTAAGTTAGTATTTAAGATTTTCCATTTTTGTTTCTTTAGAATATATGTGCATCTCAATTCAAACAAACTAGTATAACTCAAATGCCAATTTAATAGTTATACAGACGGTTCTTTTTGTATGCCACACATGTCTTTCTGGAATAAATCCGAATTCCTCGAGAATTTGAGAGGCAAAGTACATAAAAAGTTAGGAAGTATCATACTCTAAAGTGCCTTAAACATAACAGTGAAAGCATTTCATCATAACACCCTTTTAAGTTCCCTTTCTTCCCCCTTCCATTGTTGTTTAAAACTCCTTATGGAATAAGAAAGATGAATCAAACTTTTTTAAAATATATTATCATTTACTTACAATTTTTTAGGAGACGATGAAAATGACCTCTTATGTTCCAAACATTTATTTGTACCATTTTTACGTATACTAATGCCAGAGGGTCTGGTTTACAGAATAGAGAATAATGGATGAAAGTTTAAAATAAAGGGCGAAAAATATAAAGAATAGAGAAAAATAATCCAAAAAAATTTAAAGAATATAGAAATGAAGGACACCCCCTTGATCCAGACCATTATACATGTGGATGGAGTAATGTAGGATCACGAAGTAGACATTAGAAAAGTACCGTTGTGAATATATTTATAGAAATTACACTTCGTGTGCAACAAAGTGTCGGAAACTTGGACAACGATATTATATGATACGGATATTGTCTTTCATATTTTCATTACTTTCGAGCTGGACATGGCAATGTGGAATTTCCACGCCAAAAAAAAAAGGAATAAAAAAAATTTGGGCGTCAAACTTTTTCAGTCCCTTTTACTCTCAATTTTGATTGTATGTGTTGTATATGTATCTGATTCTATTCCAATTAATCGTTTCTGTTGTATTATTATTTATCGCTATTTTACGAATTTTTCCTTTGATCTTACTGACTGATAATTTTCTTTCTCAGCACAGTAGAGTGATATAAAAAATTATCGCTAGAAATTTAGGGCGCACGTGCCGGTTGTCAATGAAATCAAAATTAACAACGTCGTCATAGGTAAAATAGCGATAAACAGATTATCATTGGTCATCTCAACTCGATTGCTTTTCTCACTTTCGCCTTACCGGCTCAAGTGAGAAAATCAATCTCGCTGAGATGACCAACGATAATCTCTAAATATCAGTCGATTAAAAAGCTCATGTTCTATGTAAATTTGTTATTATATGAAAAACCCGACTTTAGATAAAGATTACTTTACTTTACTTTGATTACAGTTGAAGCGAAGTGAAATTACAAATAAATAAAACATGCTGAAAAAATGAAACATATTTTAAGTTAACAAAAACAAAAAAGGTTTGTTGAGCCTCTGATGAACCATGGATTATATTTCTGGAACGGCAAAAGCCATCGCAATTGTATCGAATGAACAAACAGAAAGGATGTGTTTAAGAAATGAATGAAAAATTAAAAAAAACAAAGTTTTTCCTGTACTACTCGAAAACTGCAACTAGATAAATTGACAATTGATTTGAAGGGACATAATATCAAAATATTTCATTTATCAATAACCGACTTTTTTGTTTCCAAAGAGTAGAGAAGTAGTAAAAAATTAAATATTTGAAATATATACTATGGGAAAGAACACCTTGGTAGGACTAACTGGGGGAGAAATTAGCACACACACCCACACACCCACACACCCACATCCATCCCCATCCACCCCCACACACACACACTTATGGTAGAAAAGTATTACAGAGAAGGTGGCTTAAAGATGAAATGTTTAACAGATCGGCTAACAACTCGCCAAACTTAAGGACAACAATCAAACAATCAAAGTCAACAATCCGAAAACATGTCGAATACAATTTGATATCGATGCGCATGTAAAAGTTATGGGTATATATTACGAGGCTCTGGAAGGGGTATCTTTTTCTGCATTATTAATCTGTTTTTACCATTCTTTTCTATTCTTTATGTTTTGTGTCCATCTATTCCCTATTCTGTAAAACCCACCCGGACAATATAATATGTCTACGAATAAATGCGTATGGCGCATTCATGGTAACTGTTCAAAATTTAAATTTATATATTTAAAAAAATTATGACATTGAGTCATCAACTTTTGTTGCATATTTTCACTATAAATATGTGCATGCACAACAGGTGTCCAAAGGTGGAGGTAGTACCAGCTCTGTATATAAAGAAAGTACCTGTTCAACAAATAAAAATGGGGTTCCTCTACAAAAGGGGTTTAAAGATAAGTTACATTAAAGTAGATTAGTTAAAATATCCTTAGCCATTTAAAATGTACACTGATGACCGATCGTTATACGCAACGGAAATTGATAAAATAAAAGATGTAACTTTAAAGGAGCATTACCTGTCAAATTCTTGTTCATCGATTTAACTCAAATTCTCATATTTGATTTATGATATACTAAAACGTATATCCAAATTACAAAAAATCGAAAATCGAAAATAAACAATTAACAATGCATGGACTCGATAATATGTATCAACATATCATGTGTATGTTTGTCTAGACGTCATCTATTAACCAAAGAGATGACTTCCGAAGACTGCCGACGGTCATATAACCCGATATAAACATATTAAGTATAAATATAAATAGATAGCGACAACGTGCGATTGGATATTTCTAGATCTGTTTGATTTCATATTGTAGTTTAAAAAGTATGTTTATCATCGTTTTTACCTGTGTAAGAATGATTTTTTGTGAATAGAGTCAGTGAACGATATGGTTCATCCTTGTTTCGCTTTCAATGTTGACATTCTTTTCCTTTTTATAGCTGAATACATGTGTAACCTATTTCCATCTAAGGGGTTTAATTAATGGTCACATGAATACGGATTCAATGGGGTCGAATTATTCACTTGCAAGAGAATAATTCATCAGCGAAGTTTCCTAGCTTATTTTGACAAAATTGAACCAAATTGGCTGCCAGAAGCAAATTATTATTTCATTAATGATTGAACAGAAAAAAAGATTTTAATTATTTTTATATCTCGTAGCTAATGTCCCTTTAAATAAGAAGGATATATAAATCAAGACTTATTATAAGAGGAGCCCGTTTGCTTTTGGGGGTGTATTTTACATAGCAACGTTCAATCCGAATGGACATATTAAATCATATGCCTTGTGTAGGATGGTGACACGTTAACTCCATACAAGAATTATTCAAGGGGTCTATATGTGGCCAGCTACAAGGAAAATTTTCTGCCCCTTCACGTAGGTGTATGATCACCTTGATCGACCTACTTATCAAAGCCATCCTATTATTATTATTAGTGTGTTCTCGTCATAAAATATAAATGAAATATTTGCCATTGGATCGATGTTAAATAAACAACAATCAATCAATCAATAATTTACGCCAGTGCATACCTTAAGCGCACGAATGTCTTTAAAACACAGTGCATAGTTACCTTGAGCGCACGAATTTCTTTAAAACAGAGTTATATATTAACAGGACTAATGTAAACTCTAAAAACAATGCTGAAAATAAACATCAACATAATATATACGGCAACAATAAAAGTCGACCATCACTTCGTTCCTTGTCCACTAGTGGTACATGTAGTAATAGTCGATTATCATCAGTGAATAGCTTAAGATAACATTAGATGCCCCGGTGATCCTGTAGTTGATTGTGATTTCTTGTACTGTTTATAATTATAGTATGTCAAAAATGTATAACACACAGGCTTATAAAATTGAAAAATATATTGAAAAATCTTACCAAATCTATTCGAAGAGTGAAAACAGCTAACAATTCTCCAACCGGATCCCATATCTATGTCACGTGATCTATGTCAACCAAAAGAGAGCATATCGTAGAACATTTTACAACAGAATTTCGTACAATCATTGTTTTTTTTATATTTGCAATATTTTACTTATGGATTTTGTTATTTTTTATTGTGAAATGTTTAATTCAAGTTCGGAAGATTAAGCTAATCTAATTTCATGTTTCAAATTGTATCGCTCGGGATAAATTTTAGTAATCGAATATAAATGCCTAACCCGTGGTTTAATGAAAACAAATTTCCAGCTGCCATGAACTGTTTCTTAATTGGAATATAACCGGTCGCTCAGATCAGAATAGGGACACCAGGAGACTATATTGATTGAATGATTGTTGGTGGCTTAACGTCCAGTTGCAAATATGTCATGCATGTTCAGGACGAGAACAAATTAACAATAAATGCAATAGGTATGTCCTGCAATAAAGGCCGTCCTGGATGAAGGTCGGGGAAATTTAAACTGCCACTGGAAAATTAGGGCATATTGGATAAGGACAGACATTTTGCCTTGCAACAGGCCACCTACGGACCCCCCAAAGAGTTGTTACAAGGGTTCTTAACGCGCAGAAAGCGTGGCACTCTCACTACATAAGACAAAGGATTAACGTCCCCATTCTGACGGGACGTGGCTGCATACTTGTACATCCCGCACAGCCAAACGGACGCCCACTTTGGCAAGGGGTTTACTGCCGGTCGGAAGAGGGGAGTCAGGAGACTATAAACGTATATCATGATACGTTTGTCGCTTCATGTTATCTGTCAAGCTGTATATGTATAGTGCAATGGTATGTTTTTTTATTTTAGTTCATTTATATGTTTTGGAGTTTATTGTGACGTCCATTTTCACTGAACTAGTACACAATTTTATTTAGGGGCCAGCTGAGGACCATTTCCGGGTGCGGGATTTTCTCGCTGCGTTGAAGACCCATTGGTGGCCTTCGGCTGTTGTCTGCTCTTTGGTCGGGTTGTTGTCTCTTTGACATATTCCCCATTTCCATTCTCAGTTTTATAGATTACATGATAAATGTAAGTAAGGTTCATACGACTTCTCCCTGAATAAACATGTAATATTTGTCGCTGGAAGTAACTTCGTCTCAATAATTCGATGTATCTTATGTTGATTTTCGACAGTGTATCTGAATAAGATGTAAACTGATAATTCAACTATCTTGTAAGGAAATTAATGAAAAATTTTAGTTTTATGAAATCCAACTGATCGATCCTCCTTCTATTCGAAACGTTTCAACGAGAGCATATGTATATGGTTGTTTACAGTCAATGATCGATTCCTTCCTTGTATTAGAAATTTTGACAAGGCCATACACACATAGCGTTGTTTTCAGTCAATGCAATACATATAATTAAATCAAAGCAACATTGAATAACCATTAAAATTACCTGCTACTAAAATTTACTACATAATTGTATGTACATGTGCCCCTAACCGGAAGTGTTTATTAGAATATGGCTTTTTGCTCCAGTAAACATATAAATATACTCTGCAAAGAAATAATGCACCAAGTAATCATGTTTTAAAAAGAGCTCACGCATCTAACGTTACAATAGGTTGAACAATTAAAAGGTTGTTTATTTTTATGATCAAAGTTAGAATATTTTAAACGTGTTTCCCTCACGCTTTAAGCTTGGTGAACATGAATAGTGTGTTTTAATAAATTTTGTTACAGCTGTTTCCCTTTAGTTATTAGTCTAGATCTATGATAAAAACAAGCTTATTCAAAATAACGTAAATCATGTTTCATTTATGTCGATGAAGATCTTCGCAATTTAAATAACATGCTTACCTGGATAAAAATCACGGTTAGTGGTTTTCAAAGTATGATTGCATTGACAACAGAAGCGTTAACAAACAAAGCTTTATAATGTCCTTGTGCATATGTACGAAAAAATTCAATATAGTTTAAATGTCTGCAGATCGCAACAAATAAAGGCCGCCATCTCTGGTGGGAAGATGTTAAATATTTAAAAAAAAAAAAAAAAAAAAGTTGTATTTCAAGATAAACTTATATTTAGAAAAATGTATTTTGAAATAAGCTAAATTAAATTTAGACGTCAAGCTAAAATAATGATGAATTAACTTGATTTTGTAAGAATCATTGATTAAAACTTGAAAGTATTGAATTATAGTTTAAAAAAACTCTTAAATTAGTGTTTGACTTATTGTTTTTCTTTTATAAATTTTTTTTGCATAATCGGAACGAGGTGTTAAGTAGTTTCATGCGTATTTTAATTAAAATTTACCTCAAAATTTTCTGAGGCATTTTTTCTGAAGGCTGCTTGAACAAGAGGGTGTTTTCCTTGACAGTTAAGTCTGAACAAATATATATATGGCAACCGTTCAAATTCAAAATTGCAGCAATATTGCATGGAGTTTTCTTAATTCCTAGACTTGTTTTTTAAAATTGATGATGCATTCATTCAAAGCTCTATCAATCGGCCATAGTCACAGTAAGTTCCATGCATCCTTGCTCTAATAATGTCTCTTAAAATTGAATTATATTCTTCCATAAACCAAATTTTATTATTATATATATAATTATACTGGTTTTAATAATGAGTCAAATAAATTACATGATAAATCAACAGGATAATGCTGAGAATTCGACATATATGTTTGTACCGAGAATATTCTAAAGCTTTTATAAATCGCTTTCTTTGATATTTTCTGTGTCGATCTATTAAATAACTAGACTTATTACCGAATGCGTACTCGTTGTTAATGGATTTGAACTAGCTGTTAGTAACTACGAGTACTTTCAGATTTGTACTAAGTGTCGTTTTGTTGTGGGGATGTATGATTTCCCTGCCACGTCCACTCTGTGTTTCTGTTACTTGTGTTAGTGCTTTGTATCGATTTGATGAGTTAAAACCTTTTCAACTGATTTTTATTGTTTGTTCATATGTTGTACTGTTACACCACTGTCTCATGTTAGGGGAGGGTTGGGCGCCCGATAACATGTTTAACCCCGCCACATTCTGCATGTGCCTGTCCCAAGTCGGGAACCTGTAATTCAGTGGTTGTCGTTTGTTGCTGTATATCATTTTTGTTTTTCGTTCATTATTTACATAAATCAGGCCGTTAGTTTTCTCGTTTGAATTGTTTTACATTTGTCATTTCGGGGCCTTTTATAGCTGACTATGCGGTATGGGTTTTACTCATTGTTGAAGGCCGTACAGTGACCTATAGTTGTTAAATTTTGTGTCATTTGGTCTCTTGTGGAGAGTAGTCTCATTGGCAATCATACTACATCTTCTTATTTTTATATTACATGAGCATTACGACTAATGCCCTGTCGAAATGCTTTTACGCATATTCGTGTTTAGTATTTGATTTAAATTATTATTATAATATCATTACTGAAACAAGTGAATATTTTGGCATGTTTTTAATATTTCCTTGATTGTGCATTTGACGACCGTGTATATTCGAACATTTCAATCTGATTGAAATCCAGTTCGACAAATCCCATCTGACAGATTACGCTTCTGTGCAAAAGGAGGCAAATCAAATATAAGAAGATAAGATAAGATAAGAATTTTATTAATCTAATCAAGAACCCATAAAGGGCATCATTTACAACAATATTATGCACAATATGATTGGAAAAAAGAAAAACTAGATCCTAATATAATACTATCATGTTATGGACAGGATCAGAGCCTAACACATCATGTGTCTTACATAACTATTACAATAATTTCATAATAATTAAATATTATTTTATATATTTTGTATCCACCTGGATCTTATTTCTAAACACTTAATAATATAATTGCCTAGAAACATAAGAGTTGGTAAATGCTCATTTGTGAACAGCCAGAAATATTTTTTATCCTTGGGTAATTCTTTAAAATTAGTACAAAAACTGTTTACTTTATCCCATAATAATTTTCTCTGTTCGTTATATAAAGGACAAATTGCTATAAAATGTGTCTCATCTTCAATAGAACTTGAACCATGTGATAGGCAGTGATGACATAGACGCTGAGTTCTCTCTATGTATTTTTTACTATATCTATCTTTCTCAATTTTAAGATCATGTGAACTTATTCTCATTTTACATATAGCTCTTCTTATATTAAAATCTTTAATTGATAAATAAGCCTCCTTTACGAAGTAAGTCTTAAGGTTTAAATAATTTTCTAATTAACTATTACGTATACCTTGTGATAAGGTATCAGATCTTTTGACCACCCAAAATGTTTTAAAACTGTTACAAAGTTTACATTTTACAAATTTAATTAATTTATTGAACTTTGTATTCAAATTTTGTATATCAAGTGATTGAAGTACATATCTCTTAGATGAATACCAACAATTAATGTTTCCTGCATCTAAAATTTTATTACAAACATAAGCATCATAAAGTAACCCATCGTCCAATTTGTTAAGCCTGTGTACATATTATACCATAGATATAATGACAGAAAAATAGAGAGGAAATCTTGCAACCTCTGATAACACTGCCAAATTTGAGGCTTTTATTATTTACACCAAGAATATACTTTAGATATCTGAAATGTGATTTTTCCAAATAATCATTTATGTAAATTAAGTCAAACAGATAATTAGTTTTTTTCTTGCAAGCAGCAGAGTTAATCTTAAATGTACCCCAAATTTCACTACAATATAATAAAATTGGTTTTATTGTGTGATCATATAAATGAATTGCAGTATCAATACTTGGATTACAAGCTGACATGGATTTTTGTAGTTTAAATTTTGCCCTTAAGGACTTTTTGAATAGCTCTTCTTTCCCCTGCTGAAAAAGACCACTAGAAGTAAAGACTATCCCTAAATACTTATATCTGTTAACACATTCTATAGCCTCATTATCTAAACAAAGTGATTCCTTCAAAAATTTTCCAGGCTTGTTAAAAATTAAAACTTTTATTTTGGACACGTTTACATCTAGACACCAATCAATACAATAAGTATGCAGTATATCAAGTCGGTTTTGAAGACCCTGTATAGTGTTTGATAATATAATAATGTCATCGGCGTACATAAGACAATCAATTCTACGCCCATTGATATAAACAGCATCTGGACTCGGCTCAAATCTTGGAGGCAAATCGTTCATGAAAAGCTTAAATAAATTTGGGCTTAGAACATCCCCTTGCCTTACCCCAACTAGCGAGCTGAATGATGGCGTTAATACATTATCCACTTTCACTGAATTTTTCATTTTTTCTGAACATATCTTTTAAAATAGTATAAAATTTTCCAGATATGTTATTTTCCAATAATTTGTATCTAATACCACAGTGTATGACCCTATCAAAAGCCTTTTTAAAATCCACAAAGGAAGCATAAATTTTCCCCCCTTTTCTGTTAGTATATTTATCTAATATGGTTTTTAAAACAAACATATGGTCAGACGTTCTACTCTTTTTTGAAAAACCAACCTGACATGGATAAATTATATTATTTTTATCAAGATGTATGTCAAGTCTTTTATTGAGAATACTGTTAAATAATTTTCCAATGCATGAATTAATTGCTATGCCTCTGTAATTTTCAGGTTTACTAGGACTCATTGCTTTAAAAATTGGACATAGATAAGAAAATGACCATTTGCGAGGGTATGTTCCAGAGCAGAATATCAAGTTAAAAAGTTTCTGCAAAACAGGTGCAAATATACTACCCTCTGATTTCAATATCTCGTTTGGGATACCATCTAGTCCTGCAGCTTTATTATTCTTTAGTTTATCTATAGCTTCCAAAATTTCTTTTAGGGTTATTTTGTAATCCAGTCACATAATTTTTTT